CATCAACGCAATCTAGCACCGTTGGATGTCAGATACGTCCAGTATAGTCCTGCTATGCCTATGCGGGCATACTCGCACTGGTACCTTTTCCATCGAAATATTGGGCATTAAGCAGAGGTGTAGCAAGTCAAACTGGTGTAGTCGGCCTACCACAAGGACTATGTGGCCACATTAGTGGCACTGCATACAGTCAGTGGCGTGCTCTTGGCAGCCCTTCCAAGCACCAGGCTGTCAGCTGGCCCCTGGCTGGTAAACCCCTCTTGAGTTCCTGTTGTGCTGGTCCACGTGGATTCCGTCAGTTGGAATGTGGCAGTGGCTGTTGGTTTTCACTCAGAACTTCAGAAGGATGCATGCAGAATGAGCAGGTAGCTGTTGGTTTTCACTCGTAAGAATGCATGCAGAATGAGCAGGTAAATGTCTTGACGCTCTCCGAGGTGGTGGCACGCTGTACTTTGACCTGCAATATGCAGTCTGCTTGTGCCCTCAGCTGATGACCATTGTCTGTATCTGTTGAGACCGCTTAGAAAATCCTGGTCTACCTAATTTCTCTATCTATCTTGATCTTGTAAAGTGCAACTCTGTGGTCCTTTTCACCATCCCCGACTGCACGTTTCACTCTGACAATTCTGGTCATACAGTGGCAGAGTAACTGCAACTTTGTGGTCCTCTCTCCACACAGCTGCATATCGCACTGATGTTACCGTGGCTCTACATTTCCAATTTTTGTACCGTGCCAGTGGCATGACATTCCCTACTCGGGAAAACAAAAATGAAAATGAAAATGGATCTTGTCCAAACCAGCAGACCCGGCGCTTTGGAATTTGGACTACCGGCGTGGCGAGGAAGTGGCAAATCTTTGGGCTTGGCAGTAGCAGCAGGGAGCAAAATGATGCGAACATTAACTGCCAGAGTTTACTTTGCCAATTCTTTTGTTTTCTCACAATATTTTTTCCCAAAAAGATAATCGCCAAATCTATGGGCCTTGTCTTTTTTCAGAACTTTGCGTGGACTATTCAGGGGAGGAAAAATTGTCAAAGTTGGTGCACTCTAATTTTTGTGCACTGCCACCCAAGCCCCCCCGCTGGCCAGCCCCGGCTTGGCTGGAAGGCCAACCCCACCTGTTTCCTTTCTGTGATGCAGCACACATAGTAGTGTCCAAGGACTGGTGGTTTGAGTGCGGGCCCCGGTCTTCGCCTGTGGTTGTCCATTGTATATGTCATCAAGCAGTTTGAACGACAAGTGCACTAGTATTTCTATCGCACCGCAGCATGCGTTCACTGAAAGAAGACTGGCATGCTATCATATTCACATGCCACACCGCCGCGTGACAGAGTGTTGAACAATCTGTTTGTGGGATCAGAATCGATTGTGGAGTTGTTGTTTTTTTATCTTTGTTGTTCTCTTTCCCTCTATAATTGTCCACTCGGTGAATGAAACTCACCTTTTGGACGGACAGCGAACAATGGACTGACATGCTGTTGACAGCTTTATGGCAGGTTTCTGCAGTTGGCCTCGCTTTCACCCCAGCACACTTTACCTATATTAGATCAGTAGTTAGCGCACTGTACCTGTTGGCTGAGTAGTTCGCATTGGCTCACTCCACCTGTCGGTTAAGTAGTTACCTATCGGTCAAGTAGTTACCTATCGGTTAAGTAGTAAGTAGTTACCTATCGGTTAAGTAGTAAGTAGTTACCTATTGGTTAAGTAGTAAGTAGTTACCTATCGGTTAAGTAGTAAGTAGTTACCTATCGGTTAAGTAGTAAGTAGTTACCTATCGGTTAAGTAGTAAGTAGTTAGCTCACTTTTCCTATTGGTTTGTTCAGTATTTGCCCACTCTACCTATCGTTTAAGTAGTTTGCCCGCTTAACCAACAGGTAAAATGAGTGTGTTAAAGTGTCAAGGTACTTTAGCTATTGGCTAAGAAAGTAGTGAGGTCATTTTACCTGTTGGTTAAGGGAGAGCAGTTCACTCAGTTTACATTTTGCAGCTATGGCGACTGATCTCCTGTCCTCTGCTAGGTGGCTATGGCCGCCGTCGTCCTCCTCTGCCCACTTCGTCTTCGGGCCCCTGCAGACCTTGCACAAGTCACACTAGCAGCACTTCCGCACGGCTCACAGGCGAATGAATGAATGGCTGGGCGCCTCAACTTACTTTAACGATAGGTAACTACTTAACCAACAGGTGGAGTGAGCCTATGCGAACTACTCAACCAACAGGTGAAGTGCGCTAACTACTCGACTAAGTTCGCTAAGCTGAAGTTACGACTTAAGACTTGAGTCTAGACTTCTGAAAACTAAGACTGGTTCAAAGTCCTCACGACCTAGCTATATGTACGACACCTACGGGCACCTGTTTAGGGACAGGTCATGGGTTCAAGGCGCACCAGGTCAACGAGGTTCGGGGATAGGTCTGGGGATTGAAACCTGGTTCCTGCAATGTTCCTACGGACTGGGTGAAACCGTTTCACTCACGAGTTCGATTCTTAATTGGTTTCTCTTGGGCTTGAGTGGGTGTTAACATTGGGGCCTGGCAAGGCTGTGGCCGTAAAGGCATGCTGTCATGGGTTTCGTTCCACTCATTTGTCGTCCCCGCTCTGGCGTGCGGGGCCCATAAAACTCTCTTTTAAGGGTGGGGGCCCATCAAACGAACACGCGCTTGTCATGGGTTTCATTCCACTCATTTGTCGTTCCGGTTCTCGTTCTCGGGTGCAGGGCCCATAAAACTGTTTCTTTTAAGGGTGGGGGCCCGTCAAACAAATACACACTCGGATGTCGCGGCGTGCTGAAAGAAGTGGAATCCGATCCTATATGGAGATGGATGTTCGTGTGTGATTTAACCTAGATGGCTGTTTTAGGTTTCAGGCTTCGCTGTCACCGTAATCATCCTACCGTGTCTGCCATGTGTACTATTCCTAGAAGCTACGAATGTGGGTCATAGTCTGGTTTCCCAAGTAGTTGTGGTATCTTTTTTTATGACTCTGTTCATGGAATGCGGGGGGTGGCATACGAAGAGGAAGAGTCAGAAAAGTGGAAAAGGCAGTGAAGGAGTGTGTCAGCTGTCTGGTTTTCTGTCTTTTTGTTCTTTTCTTTTCTTTTTTCCAGACCAATCGGTTCATGGAATGTCGGAGGTCGGATACAAACAGGAAGAGTCAGAAAAGGGGAGAAGGAAGTGAAGGAGTGCATCAGAAGAAGGGGCAGGGGGGAGGAAAGGAAAGTCGCATACATATTAGGTAAGAAAAAGGGACAGTACACGTCAGAAAGTTCGAAGTGTGCATCAGTAAGCATGAAGATCCATGCACGGGGGCAAAAGCATGGAGAACTCGAAAGAAAAATAAATGCATGTGAGCATCAGAAGATCAATAATACCCCCACCACGACTTGGACGGAATCTGGACGTAAGTGGTGTGATCACATGCCTCTGGCGAAGCACAAGTGTGAGGATGAGGATGGCTTGGAAGTCGGAGCACATGGCGGTGGGTAGTCGGGTTGGCCGAAAAAGAACTGAATGCGGGGATTGGCTGACACAAACACCAACATACTTGGGAGAGTGTTGTCCTCATTTAATACCTTTTGAGCCTAGATTGCAATATCCGTCGTTCTGATCGTGGGTGTTGCTCGATCCTAACCCAAAGCGTTCGAGCTGCTACCGTCTTCTCACCGCAATGGAACGCCGGGGTGTTATTGTAGCTGTATCTGGGGCAACTTTTAGTCTATATACGGGGATAATGAGCGGGCAATGGCAACAGACTATCAAAGCTTTCTCCTCTAATCCTCTCTTTTCTCTGTTACAGTATGTGCAGATCGAGAGTCGGAAGAAGGAAAAGTGGACAAGATAGTTGTCCACCGACTCTGAACTGACAATAGCGGTCTGTTTGTCAGTCCCACTTCCCATTAGCATCCAGCAGGCCACAGCTGCATATAATTAATAATTTGGATGTGTATTTTATTCTCATTTCTTCCCAATATGGACCGTTTGTTTCGAAATGATTTTGAAGATGGGACACTCGAACTTGCCGTAAGTACTGTGGCCACATTAGTGCATACAGTCGGCGGCATGCTCTTGGCAGCCCTTCCAAGCACCAGGCTGCCAGCTGGCCCCTGGCTGGTAGACCCCTCTTGAGTTCCTGTTGGGCTGGTCCACCTGGATTCCGGCAGTCGGTATGTGGCAGTGGCTGTTGGTTTTCACTCTAAACTTCAGAAGGATGCATGCAGAATGAGCAGGTAGCTGTTGGTTTTCACTCATAAGAATGCATGCAGAATGAGCAGGTAAGTGTCTTGACCCTCTCCGAGGTGGTGGCATTGTGTATTTTGAACTGCAATATGCAGTGTGCTTGTGCCGCAGCTGATGACCACTGTCGGTATCTGTTGCAAAACTTGGTGTGAAGGCGCCGGTGGAAATCGGTGTTGGTGAAGAGATGCTCGGACTTACTGGTGGCTTATAAACCACCAGTACTTGGCACAGCTGTCGGCCGCGAAAAAAAATAGAGTAGAAACGTTTCTAGTTGGATGAATTTGGGCACTCCTGTAGTGGCCCGTACGTTTCCTTAAATCGTGGCGCGTTAACGGGCACGACTCTAGGACTTACTGCCAGTGGTGGTTTAAACCACCAGTACCTCCGAGTCTCTTCTTGCCGAGGCAGAGTAGAACTGCACGCCAAGCTTTGATTGAAGAGCTAGTGCGGCATATTTTTCGATTTGTGTTAGCTGGTGCCCCCAGGCTCCAGCCTTGTTGGTCTGGTAGCACCTGCCGTCCGCCGTCCTCCGCAGAATGTGGTATAGGACTTTGCCTTCCAGCCTGAAACGTAGTCGTGGTTTAAACCGCTAGTACACGGCCCCAGCCTTGCGGAAAGCTTTTTGTCGCCACAAGCAAAACTCGAAGGCGCCGCGCGGTCAGGCCTGCCGTTGAAAAAAAAAAAATCGGTGGCCACTGAAGTGGTGGGGGTTTCGTGCTGACACCCGCGGGCCGATATGTGGTGTATCGGTGCGTTTAACTGCGGTGTCAGAACAAAATAGCTGGCGGGAATTGTACTTGCGGTTCAATTCTGTTTAGCGGCCTTTAGGCTCCTCCATGTACCTAAGGAATCGCCTATCGGATGCCCGAGTACCCGAATCAGCTAAGGAATCGCCCATTGGATGCCGCAGTACCCCGAATCAGCATAGAAGCTCCAAAGGTGTAATCCTGTGTGTGTGACATCCCAATCCCCATTTGGATGCCCTTGTACCCGACTTGCCAATTTGATGCCCTAGTACCGTAATCACGGATGAGAATGATGATCTCCTCCTACTGCCATTATGGTACCTTGGGCAAATTACTCCCTATTCCCACACCACACCATAGACTGTGACATGCAATGTGCTGTCCTGAACAATGCATGACGTTGTATGTAACCCTATCTATCATTGTGATGTTGGGGGAAGGATACTATGTGTTGTGGATAAAGATTAACCTCCCCCTTTGAGGCAATTTTTTTCATTGTTTATATGTTGCAGCCGGCACCTTGCACATATTTTTTTAACTTTAAAAGCGAATGGGCGCTAATATTATGGTATGCATCAGGTCTTGAACTCTTGACCAGTTTGTCAACAGCGATATGTATGTGCACTGTCCATCAACCGAGCAGGTAGTAGGCAGCAGGCATCATGAGGATGATGATTTGGCATTTGGCTCAAATTCCCACTTTGCGATGGTTGTTCGTTGGACTGTTTTGTTTTTTATTGCAGGTCTCTGGCTTAGGTGGCGACAAAGAGAAAGCGCAAGAAGAAGTCGTCGTTGGTATCGGTGTCCTTGCGGGAAGCACAATCATGATGCTCACCGTTGCATGGGCAGGATCAGTCATTTGTGGAAGATGCGATCTCACGGGGCCGAAGGGAGAGGCAGTGGATAACAAACTCACAATGGGATGGTCGTTAACGCAAACGGGTAGGTGTTTTGCTTTGGTTGAAATGTATGGACCTTAGAGCACTTGTTCTTCATGTGCGTCGAACCGCCAGTACCTCTCCCAGCCGTTTCGTTCCCACGTGTTTGTGTACAACTGCGGTTTGCGGGGCTTGGCACCGCTCGATCTCTTTGGCTGGTGGTGCCAGCACTGCCAGGCAAAAAGAAAAAAAAGCTGTGCTGAGCAGGTTTGTTTTCTTCTGGCGGGCTACCGGACCTCTTTGGCTGGTGGTTTCTTTTCTTTTCTCTTTTCGCCCAGCTGGGCAAGTGGGCACGGGTCACTCTGGTGACCTAGCTTCAGGCGGAGCCCAGCACAGTTGGTACACCAACAGAGTTGGCACAAACTGTTGGTATCCGGACCTGTGTTCGAATCCAGATGGAAGTAAGAAATTTCTGAATTACCCGGGGCCTGTCAGCTTCATGATGATATCTCAACCCCATCGTCCTTTGATAAGGAAAGGGGGGAAAAAAGAGGACAGAAGAAAAGGGAAAAAAAAAACAAAGAAAAAAATAGGCAGTATGGCTCGCTAGCTATAGAAAGATTATGGTTGTACATGCTGCTGGAAACCCAGTTCTTTTCTTTCTTTTTTTTTCTCTTAAAAAAAAAAAAAAAAAAAGTCCCACCCCTGGGGCCTGGACCCATTACCGAAGTATTCTACCACTCCATTCAGGATTTCGATCACGTGTGGCCTCTAGTGATGCAATGGGCGTTGGGTTGCTCCATCTATTGGTGGGGAGCGGCACCTGCTGGAAACCGGGTCCAGCGTCCCTTAGAACAACAATTGGATACAATGTCAGGGCTGTGGCCATCTACGCTTCTACTGTAGAGCACCCTCTATCCAGTGGAGCTGCTAATCAACCCTTCCTTTCCCATGTGCTACCGGAAGGTCCATTTTCATTTTTCATTTTTCATTTTGAACGTTTGGAGAGTAGTTGAGCGAAAAAAAAAAAAAAAAGGCCGTATAAGGTAAGTTGGCAGGCATGTGGGTGATTGATGTGGGAGGAGTGTGGGAGGATTTCAACTACCGACCTACCTTTTTTTGTTTTCACTGTTTTTCCTCTTGACTCACTTCTTTTGGTGCTTCAGCCGCGTCCTGATGTTGTTATGAATCTGTGCTTTTCTTGTTTTTTCCCATCTTCTCTTGTCGTTTCACAGGAGTGACTACGGACGACGATACGCGCATAGGAGCCGGAGTCATGATGCTGACGATCCTGCCTTACATAGTTGTTCAGATTCCGTTGATGGACCATCATAAAAAAGAAGGTCCAATAGCTGCTCTAGCTGGTCTCATCTTCGCATGGCTTGGCCTTGTCTTCTACTCCATCTATCAGGTATAATCTTGATC